AGACATCAAAACCCTGGATCATCAAGTCCAAGGAGTCAACGAAGGTACTCCAAAAACTTCCACCCTGACAACGCTCAGACTCAATCCCAGCAAGAGGAAAATGCCCCACAGGGATTTAACCCTCAAGAACTGGTGAAATTGATGATGAAAGAGTTTCTCAAATGCATAGAGGAGGACAGGAAACGGGAAAAGGAAAAAGCAGATTCAGCCTGACTAGTTGCCGAGCGGAGAAGCAACAACCACCTGAACCAACAAACACTTGCAGGTGAAAGCCCTCAGGCTCCCAAAAGTGCCGTTCTGGTCGTCTGCCACTCCTCCGACAAACCTCAGTTCAGTCCTGAAACCCTTCCTGACCCATGCCAAACTCCGCTACCTCCGTTACTGGATGAACATTTGACTGCTCCATCATCATTGAACAACAAATGGGGGAGGACCGCAACTTGACACAGATCAACTGTTCTACCCTCTACATACTAACATAACCTTTGACATTCTAGGGAACACCTAGTTAAACACAACACTAATACTTTCTCCTCTACAGCACTGCTAGAACAACCTCTAGTAAGACAGGAGCCACTCCACATATGCAACACTGTTATTGCTGGTTTTTAACCTACCTTGTTTTTTTGCATCCCTGTGCCTCTTGATTTCCTTCTTTCTCTCTCTCTCCCTAACTGATTTGCAGTTCCAGTCCCCTCTACAGGGAACTCCTGCAAATTCATGCATAGGGCCTAAAAGTAGGATTGACTCCTTCTCCCAAATTAGTGTCAATTGCTGCAGAATTATTGCTTATTTAAGTTGAAGCTAGCGCCACTCCATACTTGCAATGAAGTAAACTAGCTAAATAACTAAATTTGAATTATTTCAGGCAATGTTACACTACACCTTGTGTTCTTGACCCGAACAATTTAAGCTAAAACCTGCACCAGAACTCAGTCTATGGAATGGAAATGTGGTTTGTGTCTTGTGTGTCTGTTCTCTCTCTACCTATGCCTCTTGTTCCAGTGTCTGCCGATGTTCATGCCAGGAACATCACCATCCAAATGGGGGATGTGGGGAGTCAACGGATCGTTCCAGAACCGAACAAGCCACAGACCATGTTATCCTTAAAAGATTGGTTGGTGCCTAAATGTCTGAGCTTTGATTTCATTTTCAAAGCAATCCACAGGCACCCAGCAAAAGGCAAATCCACAGGATACCTAGCCAGTCAACATCACAGTTGCGTGTTAATTAACTTTACACCCTAAAACAATAAGAGGCTCTACAATCAAAAACCCACCAAACCGGTTTTTGAGAAGTACCTTTTGGTTCGCTTGTCCTTTGGCGTCTGCAAGGAATACACATTCTCAGGCAGACACAGAAGCGATCAGAAACGCTTCCAAAGTTTAATGGACATTTAAGTAAAACAGTTTATTTGAGTAATGTATGTTTACTTTATGTTTCTGTAGGTTTTTGTGTGTACATGTTCTATGTGTTTTACAAAACTGTTATAGATAGTTCTTGAGTAATAGCCCTCAGTGACAAATGAAATCTACAGAATGTTTGTGAAATACTTTGTTTGGTATCGATTGAAAGCTAGGAACATTTTAAATGCATTGGTTTATATGAAGAAACCATACTATGAAAAGTGTTGACGTTATAAGACTTTATTTTAACCACTATGCTATCAAAGCAGCACCCACACCAGGTGTCAACCCGGCCTCCTAGAGGGCAGAATTGGGGTGTGACTCCACCCCGCACCTTATCTGATTGGACAAGCATTGTGTAGACCCAGCCTCTACCAAAGCCTATAAAACTTTGAACAAAGAAATTTCATCGTCGTCTTTTGCCGGTCATCTTTGCCAGTCGTCACCGCCGTCGCTGCCCGGACGTCGCTCTTCTCGTGCTGTGGCCGTTACATCGCCTCGCCGGAAGCCTCGTTACATCACGGAGCAGACCGCGACCTTCACTTGCTGCCGGCTCGACCCCCGATCTGCTTGTGCAACCGCTTCAACAACAAGCCATCGGGTCAACACATCCAAACTCTGAAACTCATCCTAACTACAGGAACCCAGGAAGGACTTCGAACGCCGCCTTGTCCAACATCCGTATCCCTAGCAACCGACTAAGGAAACCCCTCTTCACCGACAAGGGAATTCCATCACGTCACTGAAGTTGCTACGCTGACCAATCAGCTTCGCCGGGATTTCCCTTTGGACCAGTCAAGGAAACCAAATTACATCAGAACGCAAGTAGCACAAACAAGGTTTCTATCCATTGCTGACTCTGGTGTGAATTATGTTTAAGTAGTAAAGAATAGCGAAATTCTCTGCTTTTATGGTTTCTCTCAGGTTGCAATGCTAAGAACTTAGCAAAGGCTAGAAGTTAAATCCACTCAGTCAAAACTCTCCTCAAACTGCTTGTGCGTGTGTGTATGTATGTGCATTTGTTTGTTTTACGTAGATTAGTACTTTGTGTTATAGAGTAGCAATAAACTTTTGTTTCGTTTTAAGATCCGTGTTGGTGTGTTGTGTGCTTTATAAGTTAATGCCTCAGCTTCAGATACTGCTACCTTGCTTATTAAATAATTAGATACTGTTTTTATATTGTTATTGTTGGCCACGTAATAATATAATACAGGATTGCTTTACACTAAACGTTCTATTTGCCGGACAAATACTTAAGTTAAGTGTAAGCTTTAAATAATTCTATGTGAATCATGTTCGAATCTTTGATTCGAATCCCCAAAGTTTAAACATGATTTAAACCAAAGAGCTGATTCTTACATCATCATTCTCTCTTCATATAGCCGTATATATGGCTGTTACACGATCACAATACACTGTGATATAGCCTGGGTCGTTAGTTCGTTGCATTGTTTTGTTTTCTCACTACAATCGATCCGCTCAGTAGGGCAGAGACCGTCTCATTCAGGCGATCTCGGACTGATTGATTTGGCGCGGATGCGAGCGCAACAGCTGGAAATATGCCAAACAAACCGCGCTAACGGGGGAAACGAGACAGATTCCGAAACAAACGTCTATGTGTGAAAGCACCGTAAGATTGTATTTGCACACAATTGACAGACAGTCGCAGCACGCAGCTCTGGCTCAATCTGTCAGGCAACAAGGCAGCACTGTACACTGACCCGAGCGTCTCGCACGCTGGCTCCGGGCTATCGGGCAGTCCTTATTGTCGAGCCCTGAAGGTTTAAGCTCTGTCGATGGGTCTCCGTCTCCTGCGTCTGCACAGTTTAACAAGCACTTCAACAAGCGTGTTTTTTCCCGCTTGGCAAGCCAAGCTGACGTGACATGGGGGCGTGGCCGCATCGACGATTCTATTTTTTGATTCGATAATCAAAATAGAGCATAAATTTCGATCGAAATCGTGACACCCTAAGTTACTAAAGTATTGTTCAATTATACACTTGCACATTATTAAAACTATTAAGACTATTAAGACTATTAAAAGCTTGGATTTTTAATGTAAAGTCTACAATGCTCATGAAGACTGAATATTTATTTATCAAAAACATTGTATTATATAAATATAGAAATAAACAACATTTAACATACATTTTATTTATTCTTGTAATATTACCAATTACCATTATTATAACATCCATTACTTCTGTTATGATTATCTCTTGACCCTTCAGAAATCATTTTAATTTGCCAATTTGGCACATTAGGAAAAAAAATCTGCTTCTTATAGATACTTCAAGCAAACATTTATTTTTTATAGAATTCTTTGCTAAATAATAAAAAAAAAATCATCATTAACTTGAAATATAAATATTTTTGTCTTTGACATGTCCACTTTTGAAGTAAGAATGTTAATGCTTTTTTTTTAATATTACTTCATTTAAAAAAGTCCTACACATAATCCAACATGAACAAAAATCATTTTATCATCCTTGTTTTAAATTTCAGCACATTTAACAGTTTTGTATTTAAAGAGTCATAAAACCATAATAGGACAAATATAAAAAAAATATAATTTTTTGCCTTGTTTAGAGCAAAAATTATATAAACTAAGGCTACATCACCAGTACACAGTGATCTCATAGGGTTTTAAGTGTTTCTGTGCATTAATTCATGGAAAAAATAGCTGATTCAATTAAATCACTGCACACTATTATGAATGAGATGTAACTTCATATTATGCATGATAAAGTTCCGTCTGACTCTTCCATGTTATTTAACGGTTAGTAACGTTAAAGTTAGTAATAAGTAAATTTCGTAAGCGTGGGCTTAAATGTACTTTGTCTATTCATATGGCTATGTAAAATATTATCATTAAAAGTACTCTTTCAATTTCAAAAGACAACTTAAAGTGAACAAAGCAGTTTATTATAATATTACTACAATACTGGTAAAATAAATATGTAAAACACAATCCATATTTTATACATGCAATGGAAAATTTGTGGCCAAATGGTCTTTGTATCATTTATCTAATTATTTTTAACAGTAACAGTAGAAAAGAATACGATTGCGAGACTTGGGAGCATCACTTTCTCCTGCATGCATGCTCATGTTTGTGTTGCAAAGATTCAAATAGCAGTGTTCCTGCACTTTAATAAACCACACTGAGATTCTCATGAAGAGAATGCTCCACCTCCACACAGCTCTCAGAATCACTCTCCATCTCCACAATATGTGCAGGTTTACATTGCCCGGGTGCAAATTAACTGTTTTTATGCACACAATGAAACTTGTTTTTTTATGTAAACCCTTCCTTTCTACAACACACAAAACTCCCACATCAACACATTTGGAGATCTCTTTTCCTAGGTTTTTTCGAATCAAAGATTTGCAGACTCGCTGGATTTCTTGAACCTTTAATATTTGTGATGTTTTCTGCTTAAGTACTTCAAAGTGCTGCACTTAAAAAATATAAATAAATAAAATCCAAAAGGAAACATAAGTGAACAAAAGCTAACTTGTTCACGTCTGGAAATCCCCCATAACCCACTATGTGTCAGGAAATGCACATCACACACATTCTGGACTTCTTACCTCGCTTCCTGTGAGGATATGACGAGCCAGTTTGACCTTGGCAAAGTTGCCCTTTCCAATGGTTTTTAGAAGCCGGTAATTCCCAATAACAGGGTGCACATCATCCAATCCTGAACCAGAATTCCTGTTTCGGCCACTCGACCTCACAGATCTAGAGGTCACCTCACTGCGCCCATGGCCATTTGTTGTATGCTGTAAGAATTAAAATATAAAATATTTTATTAAAAATAAAAAGTACATGGAAATTACAAAAAATAAAATTATATATATATATATATATATATATATATATATATAAAAATATCTTCTGATTTTAGTTTTTGGAATTGTGTCCATTGGAAAGAAGTTCTTTCAGAAGAAGAACAGTTTTTTGAAGTTTTATTTGTTTTTATTCTGTCTATTCAGTGTCCTTCAACAAGAACGGTGGTGGTGGGGTTCATAATATTCACAATGGTATTTTATTAGTTGTTGGTTTAACCATGGATGAGATAATGGCTTCTAGGTTATTTTCTTTTCAATGACATTTCTTGTCACATGTTCAAAAACAACAACCAATATTGCATGTCTATAATTTATATAATGGGTATAATTAAACAATACTTTCACTATAACGTAAATTAGAAGTCTAATAGAAAAAATATATATCTTTGCGCCATTTTGAATTTTACTCGAATACAAATACAAATACTTTTCCCCCCTCAACAAATACAAATACAATTTGTACCAAATACAGATACAAATACCGGCTGCTCCGCACATCCCTAATTTATATATAAATATATATATATATTTATATATATATATATTGTAAATACATATACATTGTAAAACACTTTTATACATAGATAATAAACACAACTTATTTCAATTATAATTACGGTTTTGCTCATTTCATATTAGATGTTGCCTTCCTGGAGTACACAACATTTCAGTCCAGTCATATCAAGTTTAGAAATTCTGGCAACAAACACAAAAATCCTAATCAGGGAGAGGAGATGTTATTCACTCCACCTACGACATGCCAAAGAGCTCCATTAGCACAGATGCATCTCTCAACATCAAGACAACATACTAGTCTGCCATTGTCACAAATATAACTCAAGACAAGTTTTTTCCATTAGGTTAATAATTTAAGGGTGCTTTCACACCTGTGAATCGATTCAGTTGTTCCGAAACAGAGATTACAATTGTTACATTGTTGCTCTTGGAGCGGTTTGCTTTTACATTGCAAAGTTTCTAATCGGACCAAAAGAGCTAAAACAAGTCACGTGCGAGTAAACTGTCCTCACATTGGGAGTGTCAGGGTTTATTTTGCAGCGTCCCGCTAAGCTGTCAGGAGAGGTGGTGGTTTGATGGTGATTGACAGGGTGTGCGAGCGCGATGTGTCTGAGGAGAGATGCGGTAGGGAGGGGTGAGAAGGGTGCGCGACGTAGCCTATTTGAGGACCGGGAGGTAGAGGCGAGATTACTGGGAGATCATCACTCGTTTGCGGGCATCCGGAGACTCGTGAAATTTCCCGCCAATAATGATAATTCTCTCTTCATATAGCCGTATGCCTATATCCATAAAACACTGTGATATAACCGCGCTCGGATCGGATCGCTTTCTCACTGTAATCGAACCGCTCCAGGGTTCGTTTCAATCGAGCCGAGACCACCTCATTTAAGCGATCTTGGAGCGATTACTTTGGCGCGGAACAGAGCGCGATTGCCCTGTTCACATATGCCAAACGAACCGCGTTAACTGGGCAATCGAGACACGTTCCGAAACAAAAGTGTAGGTGTGAAAGCACCCTAAGATCCTTTCCAACTTGTGAGACCATTTTTGAAACATACACCAGGCTACAAACAACATAGAAACTAAACAAGCCATTCTATTCAGGCTTGTCCAGGGCAGCAGGATGATCTTTAGTTGGTGAGTCGCATGGAGTACAAACCATAGACTGTAAAAGACATGGACGTAGTATCTGTGACATCACCTATAGGGTTTCTGAAGAGTGCAAATGAAGTTACAGGTAGGCAAGGCCCATTGTCGCCACCAACAATCGCACCGACCGAGGGTGACCATATAATACATTAATACAGTGTTTGTTTTAGTCTTTTAAAAACACTGTTGTTATACGTTGAGCCACTAAGCATTGTTCTTATGACGTTTTTCTACAGGAGGAAAACGCAAATTACTTCCAAATACTTCAAATATAGTCTGTGTTAGTAAATGAAAGGCTATTCATGAAATCCAGGCATAAAACTGTATGACAACATTTTAGATGACTTTTTTTTATATAGCCTACAGCTAATCAATCTGTCAGATTCTGGAGTGCATTACAGGTCTAAAAAAATATTTAAATGATTTTTATATGAATATTTAAACGAATTTATCTTAAATAAAACAAATACATTTATAGATATGGTATATACGCATATAATTTCACTCACCAAGAAAATGGAGGCAACTTGAATAGTTTGTGAGCACACTTAAGTACACAGCAAGCCATATTATTGGATAATTGAAGGAAATTATTTCTAAAGGCTAATGACTGAGTTAAGCCACACAAAACAAAACGAAAATACGATATATTTTTTCTTGATTTAGCAGCTAATCAGTCAAATTGACATGATGGCAGCCAGCGAAACCTAGCTGTCACTCAAGTGGCCATGCCCTTAATTATTAAGACTTAATATAACTTTAAATAAACAAAATGGATGAGTTATAAAAAACATTCACCCCCTCACAGTTTTCATGAAGGGTAATATTAAATATATACACCAAAACCATCTTTTGTAGGCTGTAAACATGGCCAATTTAGCATTGCAGTCAATCAACATCTGAACTTCCTGGAGCCAGCTCCCAAAGGCGAGGTGGTGAATTGCAGTTTCAATTACTTCCGAATTGGCTTCACAAGGGAGAGCGGGATGTTTTCGCTTGGTACAAACAGCTCTGTGGGGTACGCCGACTCTGCAATACAATTTTTCCACTAAATTCTTCATATTGTCCCACCGTTGTCCCAACGCTCACAGACTTTATGCAAAATGTTATACTACATAACCACAAACCTGATAAGACTTTCTGCATCAAAACACGAAGAAACGTAACCGCAGTAGTGCTGTGCACTATCTATCTAACCCTTTGAGATTATGTGCTGACTGACTGCCTGCCTGCCTGACTGACAGGTGCATGATGCTCGAGGCTAGCAAACAAGACGTAGCTTTCAGTTAAGATGAACACAGTTTCCATAATTATACTTTATTTATAGATAATGGTCTGTGGCTCTGCATATAGTCACTCTCTTGCTTGAGTTTGTAGCCGTTTCACTTTACTTCAGGATGCATTAATGCCGCTCTGTAGGTCTAATTGGAGACATTCATAAATATTCCTAGCAAATCTAATAAATGTTGGAGACATACTCACTACATAAATGCGCTAAATTGCATTTCAGCAATGTTTATTTGAGAGCACACAATAGGATCTGCGCTTGAGCTGCGTATATTTGAGAGGGCGAGCAAGAGGTTTTGTGCACAAGCAGAGGAAATCGAAGCGCAGAATTGCACATAAATATGATCACGACTTGTAATACTGCGCTCACGACATTTCTCCATTTGTCATTGAAATAACGCCATAAGTAGTTAGATTTGTGTAAAAGGTCTGCTACCTCAGCTGGAAAAACTCCCAGAGGAAACACTGAAGATGTAGGAGAGACTAGTCCTCACTGTTTCAAGTTATCCAGAGCTGTATGAATTTACAAATGTTGAATATCACAATATTATTAAATATTTCGATTCTAACAACACAGACAGTAATACTTTTGCACAATCAATACCCAGTTGATTCAGTCGTTTCACAGTGACAAAAAAAAGAGGACTCTTTTCTTCTTTTTTTCCTTGTCACCATAAAAGGCTGTGTGGTGCACCTCATGTTTTTAGAACAGAAAAGCAAGTTTGCTGCGATCGGCCCCTTGTTCAACTGCAAGACATTCTTGTTAACTTGTGGGATGATCACGTATGATCACACGCGCCTACAGACATATTTGCCAAAGAAGCAAAATGGAAGAAGATTATTGCTGTTTGATACAGACGTGCTGATGCCAAACCAGCGCTGATGCTGATCACCTCCTGATCTGCGTCATAAACACAACAAATAGGCTTTACCTTTTATTTTACAGCTTATAAAGCATGCAGGCACATTAATGCAATATCATATTTAAACAACAAAACTGTTTATAAAAAGTTAACATATGCGCATTGTCACTGGCTTTTCATCATGCAGCGAGAGAGAGGAAACCGTATAGCAAGAAATAATTTTTAAAATAATGATTTTTTATTAAAAATGTAAAAAGGTTTTGTGATATTTTCTTGCTCTGTTAAACATCATTTGGGAAATATAAAAAAATTATAATAATAAAAGGGTGGCTAATAATTCTGACTTTAACTGATATATATAAGATCCTATACATTGTATCATTTGTCACTGAATGACTTTCAGTGCTCAGCCGTCAGAAAGAGCGTGATGTCACTTGCGTGATGGCAATCATCAGACAAGCTGCTGCCAGCGCTCAGCAGTTCACTCCATTGAAGAAAGTTTTAGCTATAAAATGGGAGCCCTGAATACAGATGTGAATAAACAAGCTTCTACAAGTAAGAATGTAGATGAAACAGTTGATAAGAGAGGAAAAACTAATGCAATGGTGTGGAAGTGGTTCGGCTTTCTAAGTTTCGATAAACTTATAGTATTGGTGCTCTGCAAAATGTGCGGGAGAGTGGTGCCGACTAGCAGCAGGAACACATCAAATCTTTTTCACCTCATGGAACATACTGAGAGTTAGAAGATGAGGCATCATAAAAGTTAAAGCCAACTTCCCTGACACCGAAACCAGCGGTGTTGGAAGAAAAGGCAATGAAGCAAACACAGATGGCTATGAGGCGCCATGCAGAATATAAATCAAACTTTAATTATTAACACACACATAAGATGTGCTTATACACCTATAAATTACTCGCATATAAACCTATACTATGTTCAAAACATGTATGAAACTTGCGCATAATATACATATACACTTGATGTATGCACACACCCACGTACATAAACTTGATCCTTGCATATACTCCCACATTAACACATGCACATACATATAAACTCGATCCTTGCATACCCTCTAATTAACACTCACACACACAAACTCGCTGCATGCTGGTATATCATTCGAGCAAACTTACAAAATACAACAAACATATTTATCAGGAATCTGGTTATTGCAAAGCTTATGAAATAGAAAGAATGTGATTAATAGAGTTATTAAATCTGTTAAATAATGAAAAAGTGTTATATGAAATATTAGTCTATATAAAGACTATATAAAATATAGGGCTGCTCGATTTTGGAAAAAATCATAATCACGATTATTTTGGTCATAATTGTAATCACGATTATTCAAAACGATTATCAATTGAAGTCAAAATTATTAGCACTCCTGAGAATTTTGTTTTTTTTAAATAACTATTTCCCAAATTATGTTAAACAGAGCAAGGAATTTTAACAGTATTTCCTCTAACATTTTTTCTTCTGAAAATCTTATTTGTTTTATTTTAGCTAGAATAAAAGCAGGTTTAAATATTTTGAAACCCATTTGAAGGTCAATATTATTAGCGCCCTTAAGCAATATATTTTTTGATTGTCTGCAGAAGAAACTACTGTTATACAATGAATTGCCTAATTACTCTAATTAAGCCTTTGAATTGCACTTTAATTTGAATGCTTGCATTTTAAAAAAACATTTAGTAAAATTTTATGTACTGTCATCATAGCAAAGATAAAACAAATCAGTAATTAGACATGATATATCAAAACTATTATGTTCAGAAATAAGTTAAAAAAACTTATTTTCATTAAATGTAAATTTCATTTCTCGTCGTTTGATTAATGATAAAACAGGCAGCAGCATTTCACACTGTCACTTTAATGGTTTCTCTTTCACGTGTCTTTTGATTCTCAACTGGTTTGTTTATTACGCAAATGAGGGTTATAATGAATAATCACTAATCACCGAGTTTTGAAACATATTTGACCATTAAAGCGCTCACGTTAAGATTACTTAAATGTCTGCGCTCCTCTGCTCGTCTCAGTGTGCGAATGAGACCGAATGCTGACCTCGTGCTGATGTGTGTGCGTGTGTTGCACACACACATAAGCACGCGGTCTTTCGCGCTTTGGGTATATGATGCAATAATCGTTTATCTCGATTAATGGTTTTTCATAATCGTTAGAAGCCATAATCGAAATCGGATTTTCGATTAATTGAACAGCCCTAATAAAATATATAGGAACTATTTTATGTTAAACCTTTTCATTTAATTAGGTAATTACATACACAAATATAAATAGACAGATAGAAGCAATTAAGGATGTTCAAGATGAAAAAAAAAGTTATAAGAGCCTGGAGGTATTAAAGACTTTGCAAATTCAGTTTGCAGACATTTGTAGGTGCAGACATGTATTGTGTGCGTTCTTGGCAGTTATTTTCCTGTCTTTTTAATATTGTCTATATCGCTATCTGTATTATATGGTATCGACCTAAATTAAGAAATGTATCGTGATATACATTTTGCCATATCGTCCAGCCCTAAAACTGGTACTAAAATTGTTTTAAATTTGGTTTTGTAGTTCGGGCCCAAACAAATATTTGTTTCATTTTTTTTTTTTTTTTGTCGTTCTAGTTCATTTGATTGACTTTATTGAAATCAGTGAATATTCCTTCATTCATTCATTTTCTTGTTGGCTTAGTCCCTTTATTAATTTGGGGTCGCTACAGCGGAATAAATCGCCAACTTATCCAGCAAGTTTTTACGCTGCAGATGCTCTTCCAGCCACAATCCATCTCTGGGAAAGAAATCAGTGGATAGATACTATTAATGTATTTATTGGGTAAAATAAAATTACTACATTTTACTGTAATTGGTCTCCATCGTTGTCCCCATTGATGCAATGTGCCAAATAAATATTTTCATAATTTGTAATTGATTTTGTTTTTGAAACTTTAATACTAATTTATGGAATGCTGGATTTTAGTATGGTTAGTACACTGTCATAGCCATAAATTCAATGGTACTATAAGTTTCGGCCAAGAATTTTTATTTTGGTGCATCCCTATTTAATACAGTTTTGATTATTCTGTTGTTTTATGTGATAGCTTAATCTTTGAAAGTTTAAGTACACAGTTTACAATTAGAAATTTTTTATTTTTCACATTATTTTGTACTATTGTATCACAAGATGCTCTTCAGTCCTTTAGCTGAACTGCAGCGGTGTGCCAGATCATATAGTCCACAACAATACTCGTGTACATTTTTATATGATGAAAAATTTTATATTACAATATCAATGATATATCAACGTGATGACATATGGCACACACAAACCTCTGTGCATTTATGGCTTTGCACACCACAACACCAGTCTAAGATAAAGAACGGCAAATCAGCCTTAAATAACAATATAAAAACTAAAACAAAAGCTACTTTCATGGTATAACAGTGGTTTGGTCACAAGAAGTCAGACTTATTTTCAAAAAACTAATGTAAGACATGAAATCCACAGTTCAATGACAGCTCCGGTGGGAAACAATGTAAACAAACTGAAACAGAAATAGTTCGAAAACAGAACAAGAAAGACAGCAGAATAAAAAGACAAATAAATGACAGAACAAGACAGACAGACAGACAGACGGGCGATAGATAAAGAGGAGTTACAACAAAACAGCTGAGAAAATGACAAATGAATGACACAACAACAGAAATAGGATGACAACAATTGGGGAACAACAAATTGACAGAGACACAGACAGACAGACAGACACAAAAGAGCAACAGACAATTTCACACACACACATGCACACACAATAAGCAAACAAAGAATGACAGTTAGGCATGCGGGCGACAGACAATACCACACACAGATGACAGAACCAAACATGCATGTAGTTTATGATAAAATTACAGACAGACAATAACCTAATGTGAAACATAAGACAGAATGATAGAACAATAGATGGACAAACATACACCCAGATGACTGAACAGGCACACAATACGACATACAATGAAATAGTCAGCCATATATTAAGAAATATGATCCAACTACAGATACAGTAAAAGATTAGATAAACAATAAAATATTTGCAGAGGGAAAAGTCAAATACTGTAACTTGATGCCACATCTACAGGCAGCTTTACCTGCAGTAGAGCGCGTGCTTACGTCACCTTCCCTTACTGCTGACGTATGACCAGTAACCTGTTGGACGGACTGACGCCAATGCGCAATAACTGCCTCCTATCGGCGCATTAAAGATGCAAACCCACGCACTGTCACTCACTAAGTGTGCAGGATTTTAGCTATCAACAAGCATAAAACAGCATATGTTGCACTCATTAAGCAGAAAAGCAGCCAAATTATCAATGGAACCCATGCGTCACTTCAGCCGGTGTTCCATCTGTCCAAAGAATGGCACAATACACCTAATCCACTTAAAACACTGTCAGCACAAAAAACACGTTAAGATATGCGACATTGCCCTTTATGCTGCACAAAATGTGTCGAATTAATGTAGACTTCAACATAATTTTGATCAAATCGGCGGTCTATATAACGTTATGTTAGGCAGCTCACTGGGTTTTGATACTTGCTCTGCGACGTGACACGATCAAAATAACACGTATGCGTGATTAATCAACACATGATTGGGTCAGTCGGCAAGTTAATATCGATTATTAACCAAATACAATACAAAAATAGACTACTTACGTTTTCAGCCTTCCGTTCATTGACGGTTGGCAGGGGGGCTCTCGTTGTTGACATCGCAATCACAATTTAAGCAGCAGATTTTGCGGTGAAACAAAGAGGGGGATATATGATTGACCGATAACACGCTTGGTCAATATCATTGATTTGCTTCTGCAGTTAAAAACAAAGTGGTTAAAAGTTTGGGAAAAATATCCAGGACGCTCGATGACGTTACTGCGTTTGATTAGCGATTAAAAGCTATCTAATAAATAGCGAACGAGATCGATTAAAAAAAATACTTTAAAGCATGAAGTCGCTGTCTGCTTCATATTTAGGATGTCCGGTTCAAGTAAAGATAAATAAAATTGCACTTCTCAGGGCCTCCGCTGCGATCTTCCTCAAAGAATATCTGCTCATCAACGATTCTTCAAACGGATTGTCCGGCAACGTTACATTCAGTGGTGAAGGCAGATGCGGATAAAGCGGATGTTTAGAGGATTCGGTGACACGGGGAGAACGCGCTCGTTGACGGCTCCATTCCACCCGAACATCCGCTTTTGTCGCCTCTTCAAAACGAGATCCAAGATGGCCGTCTAACAGCGCAGGAGTTTCGAGCCGAGCCAAGAGAGAGACAGAGGAAGTGAGGAAACAGACGGATCCCTCTGCTCATTGGAGACCATCGTGTCCCTCATGGAATTGTAGATATTCTTATGGAAAAAGGGGGGAAACTTCGTCATAGCATAACAACTGTGAAATACCCTGTACTGTATATGGTAAATTAAGACAAATACTCAGTACAAATACATGAGGTGGAAATTAGATTTATTAGACAAGTATTAGTCAGACTCAGAAGGTAGTAATGTGACCAAATATTTATTGCTGCAGACCTCATGCATGCATTTCTAATGGGGAAAACGAAGTCTGGCCTTTCAAAATGTCATAGCATGTACTGAGTACATGTCAAGATAATTGACTTTAAACATTTATTGTGATTTGTGTAAAAAATTATATTATACATTTTAAAATTAAATAGCACGTTGGAGAAATCATTAAACTATTTAAAAAACGCATGAACACGTAAATTAATTGTTAAAACATAATTTACGTGTAAACGCCTTAGTTCCAGACGTTTTAATGTTCTTCTTCTTATGGGGTTAATGGCGGTTGGCAGACCAACTTATATGGTGCATTTCCGCCACCTACTGGATAGGAGTGTGGAGCGCATAATGTAGGAGAAGCACGAGTACAAAAGATATATGATACGAATGGAGGGATGAGATTACCAAAGGGAAGAGAGAACAGGAAGAAGAGTAGGAGGGGAGGAAAAAAAACAGTTTAATACGATATAAATTTTTAATTTCTTATGTTATGTTAAGTTATTCTTAAATTCTATTAATCAATTTTGTTTCCTTTAAGTAATTAATTAATTGCATTATTATTTTAACTTGATTTGAACCGTTTCCTAATAGGGTCTGAAATGGTAAATTTTTTATCCCATAAATGCTTAATCCTTGAACTAATTGACATCTCTGATTTTCATATGCCACACATTCTGTAATTACATGTTCTAATGTTTCTATTTTCCCGCATTTATCACAACATCATCCTGTCTTATGCTTCCCTATTCTAAATTTATACTGGTTTAGCAAACAATGACCCACACGCAACCTAGTTATCACCACATCATTCCTTCTATTACCAAACTTATTTCTAGTACCACCCACACATCCATGAATATTATGAATATGTCTGCCTTTTTCTCCATTATCCCACTCCCTCTGCCACATTCTACCTGTTTCTTTTGCAATTATGTTTTTTACCTCTGACTTACTTATTTTTATTTTTATTTCTATTTGATTATGTTGTAATGCTTCCTTTGCAAGTTGGTCTGCCTCTTCATTACCTACTTCTCCCATATGACCAGGAATCCACAAGAAGCTTACAAAAAGTCCACCCTGTCTGATTCTAAATACATTTTGCATGATCTCATTCATTATGTCCTGTCTTGCCTTAGAAGTTCAAGTAATTGCAACACGTTCTCACTCCCAACTCGTCATATACTGACGCTTGGTCAGGAACCCTCGGCGTAGGTTATTGACGCACAGGGTACCCCTTTAGCGTCATATTTAGACGTGCAGGGATTCCCTATAGAATATGTACCTGAGCCTGAGGCGTCATAGGGAGACGCTGGAGGCTCGTATAATTACCAATAGATGTCAACGTAATTTTTAAAACCTGATTTTACGCCTATTATCGCAGTTTTCTTATTTTAAAAATATGTAATTTTTATTTTATTTAATTTTATTTATTATTTTATTATTTTATTTATAATTTTATTATCATCCCTTCACGGTGAGTTTAACGCCTTTCTGCTATTGGTCAAACTGCATCAGCGCTGAGTTCTCAGATGAGTTCAACTGTCAACATTAAATAGTGTGTTAATGCTGCATAATGTATTTTATTGGAGATTAGTTGGTGTTTATAAATATGTTATCATTTACTTCAAATTTAATGAGTGAAATTATACTCGGTTGCCCAGTTTAGGGTAACTATGCCTAATAAAACTTTGATTCATTCATATTATTATTATTTATTTTTTACTTTAAAAAATATTACATTTCAAGTACTAAGTTTAAAAAATGTTTTTGGCTGATTTTTTTCATTTTAAATGATTTATTGATGTTCGGGTCATTGTATGTGGCGATCTATTTTTTACAGTCTATGGTCGCGATCCCAAGGTTCATTGCGATCCCAAGGTTCACTGCGGTTTTCCACAAGGTAAGTAAAAAGTAAACGAATAAAGACGATTTGTTGATAAAGCATGTACTGTAAACTAGCGACGTTATCTAATTACATCAAGTTCATTTATTAAAAAAATACTTTTTCTTCACATATAACGTTGGTCATGCATAGCTTAGAACAATATATACATTTTAAGATGAGGAACAGTGTTACCAGATTGTTGTTTTCCACAATAGAATTCGTGCAAAATCTATATATAATATGCAATATACAACTCTAATAATACAAATGTATTCATAATTGTTTCAATATTAAAGCAAATCAAGTGTTTCCAAAGGTTTAAAGGCTACATTGTAAAAACAATTATTTTCCATGCCTTAAAACACACACACACACACACACACACACATATATACACACACACACACACACACACACACACACACATATATATATATATATATATATATATATATATAAACTGTATATATTTTTTTATTATTTATTTTTTATAATATGGTATAAGTCTGTTGAGAAAAGCAAAACTGCTGGGCATGTAATTGATTATGCCCTTATTTCAGTAGTAAATTTACCCATTTCAAGTAAAAGTATTTGAAGCATAACAAAAGCTCAAGTGTAACTTAAGCTGATGTATGTCACATAATGAATATCATACACTATTACCAGTATAATTTGGCCTTTACCAATTTATTTAATAAAAGAAAGAATCTATCATCTCTAAATTGTGGTAAAGAGGCACAACAAGCTGTCTTCATTGTCAAATATTATGTCAGTCATGATGGTAACGGTAAAACTCATGGATTACCTGGCACCTTCTCAGAAATTTACCATTGATCATATGTATTACAAGTGGCTGGATTGTTTTTAACACAAGCAACGTTTTTTTAAATCATTATCTTAAACAGATTAAGGATCATTTTGGATTACACTTACATTACTTTACAACTGCTTAATGCAGTACTGATGTATCTAGTAGTTAAGTGGGTTTAACTAATGTCACATCTGTTTTTATTCATTTCAGATGCAGAATCTTTTGACATATGAATTCATCTTGACTAAGGGTAAGGTTTTTGTTCAGAATTAATCATTATATAAAATCATTGTATTTTCTTTGTTAATATGTACAGATTTTAAAAAGAATGTACTTTCTTTTAACAAAGAACTCTTCACAGCACTGCATTTGAACAGTCACAACCCCACAGAGCAGCACAACCGCCCCACTCATGATCAGTGTTATGGTGCCATTTTAAAGCTGGAACCTCATCTTGTGTACAGCAAAGGCAGAGCTGAAAATTCACTGTTTGTCTTGTATTGTGTGGTAAGTCATAGTTTTATTAAAAAAAATATATATATTTTATTGCAACACTAAGTAGTCTATTCTGTGGTCAATATGATATAAAGGGCCTAAAATGGGACTGATGTGATCATTGTTTTGATTTCTAGATAAGTACTCATGGGGCTACACATGCAGCTGAAGTTAGCTTCATTGAGTAGGACATTTCTTTCAGTATACTCTTAAAAAGATTCATCCAAAAATGAAAATTCTGTCATTAATGACTCATACTTCACTTGTTCCAAATATGTCTGAGTTGCTTTCTTCAGTTAAACACTAAAATATATATTTTAAAGAAAGATGAAAACCTGCAAACATTAACTTCCATAGTATTTGTTTTTTCCTACTATATATGTCAATGGTTTCAGCTTTTCATCTTTTTTCAAAAAACCTATTTTATGTTCAACACAAAGTAACTTGGAAGTTTTTAAAAAAGGTTTACAACCACTTGAGGGAGAGTAAATAGTGAACTATTCCTTTAACCCAATCTAGTTGACTTTACTAGAAAATTGTATAGAAACCCCTTACATTTTATACAAGGTACAACTTAACAGCCGTACTTGAATTAAAATATTACTGTAAGTCCAAGAAGATTGTAAAGGTTCTAAGTTAATTTAAAGAGGGCTGTTTACTTTCACTACATTGTAAAAACAATGTTTTAGTTGATGAGGGCTGTTTTAGTTTAGTTGTGTAAAAACATAAAGGGTTTAAGGCAACAGGTTTCTATGCAGTTTTCTAATAAAGTCAACTAGTTTGGGTTAAGAGTGTAATGGGTTACAGTAATAGCAGTGAATCATGCAGGCATACAATAAATTTTTAGCCATGTAAAGCAATAAGCTTGTTATAATTTAGAAATATTTTTAGGGTGGAGCACAGTATGCTGTTGTAGTTTTCATATAATTAATGAGTCAAACATGAGATGTGTGTTTTAAATTGCAAGAAGTAAATTAACAATGTTCATCAAGATTCAAATCTTGCATCTTATATTTTTTAAGGTTTTGGCCCAATAATACCCATATTCTGCTATTTAAAAAACATGCTGGAATTTGTGTCAGCATTCCCTTCAATGAAAACTACAGCAGTGGACATCAGTGGTGATAATAATGTTTGAGAAGGATAAATGTGTTCATAATGAGAAGTGCAGTCACTATCCTGATCTCTGAGTGTAGAACTGACAGATCTACTTGGAATACATGGAAACATGCTAGAAATGTTTAACCTATTATTATTAATGACACTTTACATATATAAATAAATATCCCTGAACTTTCTAAATGAAACCTAACCATCATTCTTTGTTCAGTAATGATATTGTGCACTTCTAATACTTTACAGTGGCAAGACCTGGAATAACACCTGGGAGCCCTCCAGGAATTCCTGACACTTTACGCCCAAGTCTCCTCATGCTAACCGGATTGCAATATGACAGTCTAGTCAGCATAAACACCTGGACTCACCAAGCACACTTTGGTTCTCAGTGTTTTTTGGTTCTGTAGTATTTTTTAAAAACAGCTTTTATTGACTTGATCAGTATATATCAGACTATTATATCCAACATTATTTATTGAACATAGCATAGGTAATAGTCTTGCTGATATTCTCTCACTCATTTCTCGTTTGAAATGTGAATACTTTTTCCTTTTCTACGGGGCTCTACTCATCCCCTTTGAGTAAAAGGGCAGTTAACCTATGTAGATGTATTATCTTCAACATGGACAAGAAATTGTATTGTCACATGTACAGTTGTGGTAAAAAAAAAATAAGCTGGAAAATAAGCTAAACATTAGTATCCTCTTTAATCACAAGTTATTAGCAATAGTAATCTATGTTCATCACAAATATTATGAGTTCAGAATTCTGGAAGTGTGTTTCATTAATGGTCATCATGTGATGTTTAATTGTTTTCACTTTATTTGAAATATGGACAAAAGATCTTTTAAAATATGTAAATGTTTATAAATATAACCTTTTTCAAGATGTATTTGTTTGACAACCACTCTTTATCTGACTATTTTTACTTTCTAAATCTTCAACTGTTTGTGTAACAGTATGTTTTGATGACAAATGATGAACTTGTGTTTAATAATGACCACATAATGTCTTTGTCCTGGATGTGGGTTAATTTGTTAATTATTTTCTTTATGATCAAATGGTTGTAAGATTTGCTGCATTGTAAGAATCATGAAAATAGTGAGAAATGAGGTAACAATGACGAAAAGATATCCTTTCAAATGTTGTGAATAGTTCAAACCACCAAATGATTAAAATACATAGTCAACAACCAATAAAATAAAAATGCAAACCTTTAAATTATCTAAACTTGAAGTAAAATAGTTCTGTGCTGTACTTATAAGTTACTGTTAAGTTTTATGTCTACCAAAAATACAAATTTTATTTTCATTCATTAATTTTCTTTTTGGCTTAGTCCCTTTATTAACCAGGGGTCGCCACAGTGCTATGAACCGCTAACTTTTCCAGCATGTTTTTATGCACCAGATGCCCTTCCAGTGGCAATCCATCTCTAGGAAAATATTTATTATTTTTATTTTTTATCTTGCATTCAATAAAACATTATACAAAGATTATTAATTTTCAGCATAACAACAGTGGCACTGTTATCTCACAACAAGTACAGCAGTTTTTTGTTAGACATTCTAACAAATGAATACAAATGTTTCAAAGTAAAGACAAAAATAAAAGGAGATTATTATAATATATATTTTTTAGAAAAATCCATGAGGACCAAATCAATACATCAGATCTTTGATGTAAATCATAGGTTAATTTTTCCAGTGGTAGAAGTCTGATTGCCTGACTCAGCCACATATTGGCTGTAGGTATCTGAGCAGTTGACCATAATAATATACATTTTATGGCCAAGTATATGCAAAAATTAAATTTATCATAAAAATGTATCATAAAATTTATATTTTAAAAGCTCTTGATGTCATTTAATGTTATAATTTAATTTTAATATAGAGTTCCTCAAATTGTTATATGTTGTAAGCAGTTAGGCATACAATAATGCTCTTAATTTACAACACTGATTGATTTTAGAGGCATGCATACATACTGTACATATCTATGTATTTAAAAAAAAAAGAGACAACAATTTGGTTATAGATGATGAAAATTTATTTTTTTACAGATTTTATTACATGCTTTAGATTCAGGGTTAAGGTCATCCTCTTCTGGATTACAGTAAAAGAAAATCCACAGTCAATGTCATACTCATCAGCTGGAGCTTTATTTAAAAAAAATGTCTGTTCACTGCTCCAGCCAAAACTTGCAGGTACCTTGCAGGTCTCTAGACTGCACCATTGTATTGTTGTTTATTTCTCAGTTATTTTGTTGCTTTCTGAGAAGGATGATCAACAGACCTTTTAACCCCTCTTCGTTTAGGCCACATGCCGAATCTTAAAAGAAGAACACAACAACATTAAAATATATTAGTATCCTTTGGACTGGGTAACCGTATGCTTTATGTGCCAAAAATACAAATACATACCAGTACTTTTTATATTATTATTTATAGTGGTTGGCCATCTCTGCCACAATAATCCGCTGCTTCTCCTGAAGAATCCTGACTAGCAGGATGATGTTGAACACCCTCATCTTTGTTGCTGGATCGACAGAGTCTGAAATATATTCATAAAAAGAAAGTTGTATTACAAGGATTATACGTCAACTTTTAAAGAATCAACACTGACAGAAGTCTAGTGTACATACCATGCCATATGACGAAGACATCCATATCACTTCTGTTTTTTGTTGTCTTTGCGTCTGCTACTGAAAAAAAAAAATAACAATAATAGTAACACTTACAATATTTCATGACTACATGTAATATTAATAATAATTTCCTCACCTGCCCTCTCCTCTACATCACAGACCAAAGTCTTCCAATTGGTTTCCGGTCACTGCCAGTTCCATGGATTGTGTTTTGCAACTTGCTTTGCAGAGCTGTTGCAGTCTACAATAATAAGCAATCAAAAATCACAATACTATTTAAATAGGTTACTGAACATCTAAAACAAATTCTACTGGATGCAGTTACCTTCTGAAATCAACAGGTCAGCGAGATGGCCAAATTGTTGAATATCCGCTAATTCCAGCACATGACCATGAGAGTTACAGTAGCATGTCTGGTCACTCCAATCCTATAGAAGAAATATTGAACTGTTCAACCTCCTTCCCAAGAGTAAAACCACACATATCCTGGTATGCCTCACTCCATTTCACCTGGTTAACATATACAAAAAAAAAAAAAAAAAGTAAACCAATAAGTTTTGGCATTTACCTGTAGATCAGTTTAAGATAATCATATAGTTCATCTATCTCAGATTTAAACTCATGTGCTTAGGCATGAAACACACTAAAATCATAGGCTTAAAGATGGTGCTGAAACTTTGGACAGCTTTTTGCAACTCTTTGGAGGTAGTGTCATTAGTTGATGGAGTCCACAAATCTTCCTGCCAATCCTTAATCCTTAGCTGTAAATACACCTTCAAAAATGCCAGTGTTTGAAAAAGGAATGAAACAGTACAGAACAAGTGCATAACAGTTTCTATCTTCTAATCTAATTTTACTAGGTGAACATCAAAGAGCTGTTTTCTTGTTAATTTAGTTTCAATACATACAGTTTAAAGTACCTCGTTCATTCTTGAAATGGTTATGCTTATGGTTAACATCTACTTAAATTGGCAGTATATCTAGTGTGGAAGCAGGACAGATGAAGGACTCTTCCTTGCAAATACTATCCACCTTGTATTGCACAGACTCCCACTCAAGAATATCTCAGAAAAATGTCTGCTGAGATCTTAGCAGTCCATTAAAAATAATTATACCAACATCTTTTCCACCAATGGAAAGACTATAAAAATATTTTAGGATATATTAATACTTGCATGACCAAATCTGAGATAAAAAAAGGCCATCAGTATGGCTTAGTTTAAATAAAACCAAAATTTTACTCTAGCCCACTGTCACCTAGGTCTACAGATCCAGGGACTAATGGAAACATTAAAGTACACACCAACAGTCACTGGAGCAAGGCCTTCTCACAGTTGGGAAGATTGGAGTTCCTATGAGCTGTACCAGATAAAAACCACAAAAAAACTTACATTTATAACTTATCCTAAGACTAGTAGACAAGCAGCATAAGCAGACTTCTAATTTCCTAAACCCCAATGTGGACAGTTGATGGCCTATAAGGTGTCATAAATTCAGACAAAACAAATTACTTTCTGAAAAAGAAAAAAATGGTTGGCCACTATCAACACCCAGAACAAATAGTTTTAAACAGTTAGGCCACAATATTTTGTGAGCTTATACTGTAGTTTATAATGTTTTGCATAAACAATAGTAATAGTAAAACTAATGCGTCTCTTTCTGTTATTACAATAGTAGTGAAAGAATACATGCATTTCATCTTATACAATCATATATGCCTAAACAATGTAGATATTTAAAATACATGCAATGAAAAACTTCACTAACCCTTGACTGATTCCAGAGTGGTCTTGGCCTTCTTTACATGGTGGTGCTTCCAGCAGATCATCAAGTTGTCATCAATACTTGAGGTTATAATTGAGATCTTGATTATCAATCTGAGTATCAAGGAATCACTCATGGTGATAGGCAGAAACAGGCTGAAAGACACAAGAATTAATCAAACAAATACAAATGTGTTAACAGAGATAGAGAGAGAGACAAGTGCAATTTAACGTATAGACATTGGTAAAGTGACTTTACTTTTTGCTTATTAGAAAACTAAATTGGATTTTTAAAGTAATCTAAAGAACCTGAAAAAAGCAAAGAGAAAATATTCATATCTGAACAATGAACACCTAATAATTTACACCTGTAAGTTTTATATATATATATATATATATATATATATATATATATATATATATATATATATATATATACACATATACACATATACATATATACATATATATACATATATATATATATATATATATATATATATATATATATATATATATATATATATATGTGTGTGTGTGTGTGTGTGTGTGTGTGTGTGTGTTTTTTTTTAAGGCATGGAAAATAATTGTTTTAACAATGTAGCCTTTAAACCTTTGGAAACACTTGATTTGCTTTAATATTGAAACAATTATGAATACATTTGTATTATTAGAGTTGTATATTGCATATTATAGATTTTGCACGAATTCTATTGTGGAAAACAACAATCTGGTAACACTGTTCCTCATCTTAAAATGTATATATTGTTCTAAGCTATGCATGACCAACGTTATATGTGAAGAAAAAGTATTTTTTTAATAAATGAACTTGATGTAATTAGATAACGTCGCTAGTTTACAGTACATGCTTTATCAACAAATCGTCTTTATTCGTTTACTTTTTACTTACCTTATGGAAAACCGCAGTGAACCTTGGGATCGCAATGAACCTTGGGATCGCGACCATAGACTGTAAAAAATAGATCGCCACATACAATGACCCGAACTTCAATAAATCATTTAAAATGAAAAAAATCAGCCAAAAACATTTTTTAAACTTAGTACTTGAAAAGTAATATTTTTAAAGTAAAAAAAAAAATAAATAATATGAATGAATCAAAAGGTGCGTTCGACTTCATGCAGCGCTGCGCAGATCGATCGAAATCTGTCTTAAAGCGGTGCATTCTGGTTAGAAATCTTGTCCGGATTGATGCTGCGCCGACGCCACGTGACTGTCACATGTGGCATCAAAGTACCGCGACAGCGCTCCGAGATCAGACGGCAAACTCAGACCATGCAGCTTCTGAAGAGCGACTGCAGGAGCTTTGATGACGACACCGATATTACACGATTGGCCGAGTTCACCACATGACAACAAACACGTGTATTTCGGGTTTATAATTGGACAAATTCCGATTCAAAAGTTTCAAAACAAACAATTCACTTTTCACATCCTCTCTATCCTGTACACATCTTGCTTATTAAAAGACTACAAATATTTTACTGCAGTATCATCTTTTGTTAAATAATCTGGTTATAAAGGTTAGCTTGTTTGCACAGGTTTATTTTTTAACTTTTTTATACAGACTATTTACTGCATTCATCTCCATGAACGATTTAAATGATATATTTTAGTGTATATTTTAGTGAATAACCTAAATATGAACTCAAATAAGTCTTACAGACTTGAAATAAGAAAATCATCATCATTGATCCTGCCACCCTAAAGCTCTCTTAACAAATTAAGTTAAAGAACTATTTTATTAAATAATTATAAAATGGCTTTATTATTATAATATAAATATATATTTTATTTTCTGTCTAGCAGTTTAAAGGCTACCTGCTCTTTCTGGGAAACTCCTACATCGCTCACTTATTTTACCTTTTGTTCTTTTCAACACAATCTTTTTGGATTAAAATGCTTTTTTGAAAATTCATTCATTATCCAAAATAATGTCATTTATTAAGACCTAATCAAAACACCTTGTTTTGCTTTTTACATGGGAAATTTCTATATCTATAAATGTACATATATGTAAACCCTTTTTTAGCAGATGTAAACAAGAAGTATTAGCCTAAAGATTGATGTTTAACTCCTAGAATTTATGCTTATTGCTTTGTATTTAATAGACCTGTTCGTTTTTATGTTTATATTAACCTCTCATTTCCTCTTATTTCTCTCATGCATTTGTTATATATTTTATTCATAATTCTCTCTTATTGTTTAAAAAGGAACTACAGTTTGAAGAGCCTGTATTCTGTTTTATTTGTAAATGTTTTGTTGTTATAAATAAAAATAACAAAAAAATATGATGACGCCATGTGATCAATCATCATGACTGCAACAACTTTGAGTCCCGAAGTGTCCAGCTGTCCGTCTTGACGGCTCCGTTTTCAACTCCGCCCCGCCTGCGCTCGGCTAATCTCGTTGATCACCGGCTGCAGCTGAGCTTCATGTCGAACGCACCTAAAGTTTTATTAGGCATAGTTACCCTAAACTGGGCAACCGAGTATAATTTCACTCATTAAATTTGAAGTAAATGATAACATATTTATAAACACCAACTAATCTCCAATAAAATACATTATGCAGCATTAACACACTATTTAATGTTGACAGCTGAACTCATCTGAGAACTCAGCGCTGATGCAGTTTGACCAATAGCAGAGCGGCGTTAAACTCACCGTGAAGGGATGTCACGTGGACCGAAGTTTATTCATACAGTAGTTTCGACCCAGTTTACAAACGCTTTTCATGAACAAAATAAAAATTACATATTTTTAAAATAAGAAAACTGCGATAATAGGCGTAAATCAGGTTTTAAAAATTGCGTTGACATCTATTGGTAATTATACGAGCCTCCAGCGTCTCCCTATGACGCCTCAGGCTCAGGTACATATTCTATAGGGAATCCCTGCACGTCTAAATATGACGCTAAAGGGGTACCCTGTGCGTCAATAACTTACGCCGAGGGTTCCTGACCAAGCGTCAGTATATGACGAGTTGGGAGCAGGTGTGCCGCAAGCCTACGTTTGAGTGAAGGTTTCGGCCGTTAGATCGCCCCCTGGGGGCTGGCTGCAGTACAAGTCATAAAGCCCGTCTCCTCCGTGTTAATGAAGGAGACTTGAGCCCAAATAAAAAAAAATATTACCCTTGCAATAAAATGTCCCGAAAGATAGTTCTGGTCGATTAAGGCACTGGTTATTGTGCTGAAATAGGTGCAGATCTTCATTTTTGTAAACAGTTTGTTTTTATCAGTAATTTAATGCTGGGCGTGTCATCGTGATTGACAACTGTGATTGACAGTTTCTCAAAGCGCGGCGTCTGAGCTTCGGCAGGAGACTGAAGTAGACTGAAATGTTATTATTCGATTTCTGTGTTATTTTACCATGACAAAATGAGTTCAGCAGTAAACTATAGTTTCTGACATACATGATCCTGGTGGAACACTGTTTATTCGCTAAGTTCAGGGCTTTTTTCGGGCTTTATTAGTTTGCTGATACACGCCTAGCCACCCAGATAGCAAAACACAGTTCCGGCTAGATTCTCGCCTGCCGGAGACTTATCTCTTAGAGCTCAGACTGACTAATGTTACCTCTGCTGGACCTACTCCAGATGCCTGGACTCACTACCCAATTCCAGCCCGAGTCAATCGAGCCAGATGCGACGGCCGAGCGAGCAGGCGCTGCCGCATGCGAGCCGGAATCAGCCCGCGACGCCGCGAGTAAGTTGTGCGCTGCGGCCTGGAGCTGGCGCGATTGAATATATAAAACCCTCATATTTGTTAACGTTATTACATCCATTTGTGTTGATATGACAGCAAACGCATGCTGAGAAGTTCGGGGGGCGTAGTTGATTTTACATAAAGCGTTTGATTGGAAGCTCGACTCTGCTCATTTTCGCGGCTCCTCCTCTGGCTCCATCAGACAATCCTTCTGCGCATGTCTGGCTCCAATTTCAGCAGTCTTTTGCGACAGTTTGTGCCCGTCAAGCAGGCGTTTTGCCCTCAAGGCGTTCAATGGGAAAAAGGGCTGTCGCGTCGTCCATATTTTTTACAGTCATTGGTTGGGAGTGAGAACGTGTTTTCAACGTTCCATTCAGAAAGTGATAAAAACAGATCCAGCCACTAAAAAGCATTTTCTTTTTGTTTTAGACACCATTTCATGCACTGTTAAACATGTTAAAGCAAGTTGCAAGTGAAAATCTATGTCTCTGACTGAGTTTGCATTACTGCTTATTTTGACCTCTGCTGGCTGAGAAAAGCTCATTTTCAACGTTCAATTCAGAAAGTGATAAAAACAGATCCAGCCACTAAAAAGCATTTTCTTTTTGTTTTAGACACCATTTCATGCACTGTTAAACATGTTAAAGCAAGTTGCAAGTGAAAATCTATGTCTCTGACTGAGTTTGCATTACTGCTTATTTTGACCTCTGCTGGCTGTGAAAAGCTCATTTTCAACAATCAATTCAGAATGTGATAAAACCAGATCCAGTCACTAAAATGCATCATTCTTTTTGTTTTAGACAACATTTCATGCACTGTTAAACATGTTAAAGCAAGTTGCAAGTGAAAATCTATGTCTCTGACTGAGTTTGCATTACTGCTTATTTTGACCTCTGCTGGCTCAGAAAAGCTCATTTTCAACGTTCAATTCAGAATGTGATAAAACCAGATCCAGCCACTAAAATGCATCATTCTTTTTGTTTTAGACAACATTTCATGCACTTTTAAACATGTTAAAGCAAGTTGCAAGTGAAAATCTATGTCTCTGACTGAGTTTGCATTACTGCTTATTTTGACCTCTGCTGGCTGTGAAAAGCTCATTTTCAACATTCAATTCAGAAAGTAATAAAAACAGATCCAGCCACTAAAAAGCATTTTCTTTTTGTTTTAGACAACATTTCATGCACTGTTAAATATTTTTAAGCAAGTTGCAAGTAAAAATCTATGTCTCTGATTGAGTTTGCATTACTGCTTATTTTGACCTCTGCTGGCTGTGAAAAGCTCATTTTCAACAATCAATTCAGAATGTGATAAAACCAGATCCAGCCACTAAAATGCATCATTCTTTTTGTTTTAGACAACATTTCATGCACTGTTAAACATGTTAAAGCAAGTTGCAAGTGAAAATCTATGTCTCTGACTGAGTTTGCATTACTGCTCATTTTGACCTCGGCTGGCTCAGAAAAGCTCATTTTCAACGTTCAATTCAGAATGTGATAAAACCAGATCCAGCCACTAAAATGCATCATTCTTTTTGTTTTAGACAACATTTCATGCACTTTTAAACATGTTAAAGCAAGTTGCAAGTGAAAATCTATGTCTCTGACTGAGTTTGCATTACTGCT